TCAGTATATTTTAAATTTTTGGACCATTTTTTCTTTACCAGACCAGTTATACAGTTATAAAATTTCTCGGGCACTTAGAAAATTTTATTTTACTCTAAATTATGGATTTCCAACTATATTCATTTTTTAATAGACAGAACACAATCTCATTAGAATAAACAGATTCGTAGATTCCTGAAAATAGCACTTCCCTGATCAGTAGATCAGAAGGGATGATTCTATTCTGTGGCTCTTTAAATATCCAGACATTACACCATAATCATGTAAGTAATAAAGAACTGAAAATGTAAATCACAGAAGTTATAATATCTATTGATGTTCCCTCATAGATTGAATGTGGATGGAAGCAGGTACTGATTTGATACTGTATGCAATTACCTGATGTTCAAATTGAAATAAACTAAATTGTATTATGATAAAACATTTGCTGTTTTACAAGAATGGGCTGAAAAGTTTTGCTGCATTGTTTCTGCTAGAAATGGCTATTTACAGTTAAAACCACTAGATGGCAGTTTGACTTAAAGCAGTAACTATGAGGGTTGTATTTTTTTCAACCTTCAATGGTCCATAAAACAAAGACGAGTGTAAATAACAAAATGAATTTATTACCAGAAGTTAGGTACAAACATGATTACTTTCCAACATGATCACCGTGAAGATTGAGGTATTTGTCACATCTGTGGACGAGCTTTGCAATCCCCTCTTCATAGAATGTTGCCGCCAGTGACTTGAGATGGGAAAAGAATTTCAATCCACCCTTGTATTTACTTAAAGTTGATTACCATTATATAAAACATAATAGAAGAATAGGATAAATATTTAATTCAACATATCATATTTACTTTTTAATAGTTATTTAATTGGTAATTAGTGTTAAAATATTTTTTTCAGAATTAAGCAATTTTATTTTGTTTATATATTGATGTACGAGGTATAATATTTGTAGTTTAATTATTTTACATGCTGGAATTTTTTCATAGATAAAGTATGTAAGCCTATTTATTGCTTTTAAGAGCTTTCAGAATTAGAAGAGATATACTTAGCTTATATTATCTCTATTTATAATCTTGTTTTGTTGTATTTTATGTATTTTTTTAATAATAACAAGAACATTTAGTTAAATTTTAACTTACCGCAATTATGCTTTAAGAAAAGTTATTCTGTAAGATTATTTTATATTCTTTGAAAGAAGCACAGGCAATAATTCTGATAAGTTTTTTTTATTTGTAATAATTTAAAATATTTATTTTTAAAGGATAATAAGAATTATTATTATGAAAAATTTATCTCTAATAAAAATAATGGTTTCTAAAATAAAACTTGTTTTTATTTTATTATATTTTTAGAGTTTGCTTAATGTAAAATATTGTTATTATTGAATATTTGTGTTAAACTGAAGATAGATGCTTAAGTAACTATTTTAAAAAATGCAGATAAAAATATAGGCAGAGGTTCAGAATATTTTCAGGATTCAAAATTTCTCCAGAACATACACAAAATTTCCCTGAAAATTATTGCAAATTTTTGCATACATTTTTACACAAGATAAAACTCGTCAATTTATGAATCAATTAATAATTATTACTACATAGTTTGGAAAATTCAAATTAAATAGGTCTACCATATAATTTGCCACAATGTAACTAAACTGGTAAATTAACCTAAAAATGTTTTTAATTAAAAGAACACTTTAATTTAAGCACTTCCATCATCCTAGGATAGAATATACAAATATACACTCAATGTAATATATTGATTAATAGAAATAAAATTAAAGTCAACCCCACAAATGACCTACTTTTAGAATGAGGCACTAATTAACAGATTTTTTGACTTTCAAAAATGCACACACCAAACAGCTAAAACTTATATTTAGCTGTTTAATCAAGACAAACAACTCTACAAAAACCTGATACATTATAATAATAAAGCCAACCACTGCCGTATGCCATCAGGCTATATAACGGCTATATTAATAATAAATTGTTTAGTAATTTATTATTAATATAGCTGTTATATAGCCTGATGGCATACGGCAGTGGTTGGCTTTATAATCAAGACAATTTAGAAATAGTTTTTAAATGCAGTTTTTTAATTTGCAAACTTTCTACGCAATGGAGAATGAGTAAATATTTCATTTTAACTTGAACTGACATGAAATTTTATCCATTAAATAGTGATGAAAAGCATTTTGAAATAAATGTGGATTTTCTTTTTTTGTTCTTTTTAAAGCTCTGTTTCAGTTTCAGTTTTGGTTATTTATGGAAATTGAAAATGTATTTCAGTAACCAAGATCAACTCTTCCTTACTGCAAGTGCATAACAGTGTAAGTAGGCAACAATGTGCAGTACAAGTGACTGAACTGATTAGAAACAAAATAAATAATGCTTCAATTTCACTTTTAAAACAAAAGATTCCTGCATTTTGACTAATTTCTGCAATTAATGTCTGTAGACATAGTTGTTATTCCATTTTTTGTGACTATTGCCATAATATTACTATTCATACCACAAATTTCCCTGGAACTGCTTTAATTTCCACTAAACCTTCTTTGCTCAATTGGACATATTCTGCCCCTCTGAATAAAAGTAATTCAGAGTTGAAAATAAATTCAAAAATATTTACCACTAAACTTTTATGTTTAAACTTAAAGTATAATTTTAGGAGACAGTTATATATATTTTATTATTTATAAATGTTGGTTCTAATTATTTTGCCTTCCAATACAAAAATCAGAAAAATATGGTTTAATCAGTGCAAAATATCAGTGGTAAAAATATTTTAATTGATAATTGTTTTATATTGTTCACATTAAATTTACTTTTGACCTTTCATAAATTGTAAACAATTGATGGTAAATCAGATTTTCCTCCCATGAAATTTATTTCGTTTAATGAAAATATCAATTTCTTTTCAAACTTTTGGGATAAAAATGTCTCTAATAAAAAATATTTTGCAATACAGTATTATCATTAAGACATAGTCAATCAAGAAGCAGATATGTCTAAATTTATCAAAATTTACTGGGTTATTATGGTTGGCTATTAAATTATTTAATGATTTGAATAATTTATCACTACAGGTAGATATGCCACATCTGTTAATAACTTTAATGATTAGATATTTTAGAATAATTTAATTAAATTTAGAAATGTTAATGGCTATAGAATACATCCACAACACACTGTAACTTCTAAAACTTACTTCCCTGAAATTCTTTCAAAAAAGATCAGCTCAATCGAATGTAAATTGGTTTGCCCGTTTTTTCACCTCAAGAAAAACCAAATGTTCGAAAACATTAGTGAAAGACGTAAAAGTGGAATTAAGCACCGTTTTTGGTTTATGTTGGAAGTAAGTTTAATATTCATTAACATTCCAAATTTTAAATAATATACACAAGATTCTTTATTGCAATCAAAGAAGAAATGAACATCACTTCCTTAATGAAGTTAATTGTTTCTAGACAAAACTGCAGAATTCCAGTAACATATGAATGCATTTGCAATTATGCTTTAAAAAATTTATTCTGATAGCATAACTGATAATGCATTTATATGTTAAATCTCTCTCTTTTTTTCTAAATTACCTAATTATTAAAACTATCAGAAAATGATAATGTGTGTATAATGCCAAATAATCTGAATCATTAAATAGTTCTATAGCTAAATAAACTGATAAATTTTGATAATTTAGTAACTATTTAGTATTAATAGCAACTCTATTGTAACTTTGCTTTTTTTCTATTGTATTTCATTTCAGTTCACTAGAAATAAAAATTGTTGCTTGATTTCATTGATTCAATCAAAAGTTAAAATTTAGACATAAATAATAGCATAATAATCTAAGTTTTCTTGAAAGTTCTGCAATAAGTTACAAATAATAAAGCAACAAAATCTTGCAAACATATATTTTTCTTTTATTTTTATTCTCAAATTAATATTACATCAAAAATCAAAACATTTTGTAACAATCAATCATTTATTTATTGTTATTAAAACCCAATAATTAAGTTAAAGAACTAATTTATTAATGTAAATAAGGTAAAAATTAAATAAAGTTTATAGTAAGAACTTATAAACAAATTAATATAACACATATTAATATAACTTACCTATACTAATGTCTGAACATTTAAACTAGAAAGAAATATTAACACCAGAGTAGATAAATTACCCAACTTCACAGCCTGTAACCGGTGTTCTTCTTCTCCAAAGCAGAGGACTTTGCAAACGTTTTCGAACCTAATGTGGTTATTCTTCAGGCGCTATGGAATTCTCTATACGAATTTGAATTTCCAGTCGAGAATTAACTGTTAGTTTGGAAATCTTTCTGTCACATGTGATCAATGTTGTCATTGTAGACTTGAGCATTATCAGTATGGTGTTACTTTAGAGTTTTATTGAGGAAGGTTTTCCATGCTGTTGATAGCGTCATTTCTTGTTTGAAGTTAATGCAATGCTTATTCCTGAGGGTGTTATTGTATAAGGCCTCTAGCCATTTGAAGTGTTCTGTGTGAAACGTGATGTGAATAATTCTGGTTAGAGGGAATAGCGGCTCTATTTCCTCCGATCTGGATTTCAAATTCAAAATTCAAATTCGTATAGAGAATTCCATAGCGCCTGAAGAAGAACCACATTAGGTTCGAAAACGTTTGCAAAGTCCTCTGCTTTGGAGAAGAAGAACACCAGTTACAGGCAGTGAAGTTGGGTAATTTATCTGAACATTTGTTTTCAGATATTTGTGTTTAAATCTTTACGAAATTTTATATCAGTTAGATTGAAAAACTGTATCAAGAAAGTTTCTTCTTAGATTATTTGGATTTAATTATAATTGATATATATTTAAGTGATGATTTAAAATGATTAATACTTACGTAATAATTTAACTTTGTTTTATTTACAATATTGTTCATTACAAATATAAATTAAATTTTATTTCAATTTATTATTTTTAAATAAGTTGTTAACGATATTTATTCATTTTGGTTTTTACTTTTTAAGCTTTCCCCCATGGAAAGGACTATCATACAAGGAATCAAACGGCTACGCGTTCTTACTCCCTATGATTATGATAATATGGATGAGCTTGTTCAAGATTTGAGCAATGCTCTAGAGGAAACTTCTTACAGTAGAGTATCTCCAAATAAATCTAAGAAAGGAAGAATATGGAAGAGACGATCAAAATCTACTGGTAATTTAATTGCATTAGGAAGCAGTTTACCAAAATCGAGTGCAGTTAGTGAAGATTCAGAATCTAGTTTAGATGACAGAATCAGATGGAAGATGGAAATCACAGCTAATGGTACTCAACCACATAGTGATTCAGATGACATACCACCAAGACAGCAACTTACAGCTTGGAGACATTGTGTGGCAAATATGGTGGAATCAGATTCTGTTAATGAAAATTTTCTTCCTTCAAGACCACATCGACGAAAAAGAAAATTCAAAAGAATGGCTGTTGATCCTCAACCTATATCATGCAGTGAAGTAATTCCATCCAGTGCTATTACTTGTTCTATTCAAAAAACAAAGAAGGTGAGAAGTTTGAGAGCTCTTAAGAATAAAGCAAAATTGCTGAAAGCTTGTGATGCTGATACAGAAAATATGTGTGGAGACAACTATATAGATATTGAACCATTGGGATTGTGTGGAAAAAGGAAACGAAGTATGCGCGAGAGAAGTATTGAATGTGCAGGTTATGGTGATAAACATAACTTCAGAATGAGTGGAAAATTTCTAGTCAATTCACCAGTTAGTACTCCTTTTTTTTGTGATGACGGTTGCTCCAGTTGGCATAATAAACATCAGTTGATGGAATATGAAGATCCAGAAGGAAATAAAACACGATTGTAAGTATACAATAGAACTATCATAAAGCACGATTGTGTTTTATGATGATTCTATTGAATTACTTATTGTTTTTTCTATAGATGTTTAAATCATTATTTGAAATTTTAAATTTATGTCAACAAGAAATTAAACTTTATTCATTTAATATCATATTAAAGATATTCCACATCCAGTAATTATTTTTATCATATGTTATGTTCTGAATATTTTCTAAACAAACAATAATATAATATTAATTAACATTCGCAGAATAATATTTAAACGAAATGACAATGGGCATTGATATTTTGAAAATTTACTTCTTAAATATCATTATTAATGTTTGTTTTATAGTTTGTTCATTTATTAATTGAATGATTGAAATCTTTACTTTTCTGTGTATTATTAATAAAATTTAGTTTCTGTTAGTCATAATAACACCACCAACAACAATAACAATAATAATAATAATTACAGCACAGTTGTTCATTCTCATCTATTCAATAATTCTAAAATGACATTTTTCTGTTCTTTTGTTTGTTGTTCCATACAACATATTATTTCAATATTTTTTGTTTACTTTCTTTTATATATATAATAAATGATGATTATATCAAAAATTTATTATTTTTCTTTTATTTTCATTTTCTTAATGCTAGATGACTGCTATGACTAGATGACTTGGAAAATAAATTCTATACCTATATAGGAATCAAAACATAATAAGCAAGTTTTAGGAAATTCATAGAAATTTTACTTTCCCAGCTATAACAGAGGGAAAGTATGGTGGTCAGTCAAACTATGACTCTCCCAAGATTTTTACATTTTTTGACTTGGGTGTCTTGAAATGTTGAGAAATGCAAAAAATTCAGGAGTCTGTATATATGAATGTTTGTGTGTGGGGGATGGCACACACAAACCTGTGCCTCTGTGCCTTTTGTCAAAAATTTCTGAAATTTTGCAGTGAGGTTTGTGTATTAGGGAGATTGATGCTATTAAATTTTGGTGGTTAAAGGTCAAGGGGGGAGATAAAGGAGGGTCATGTGTTATGCAACTCATTGCTAACATTGAAATGTACTGTAATATAAATGATACAAAAAATAAAATATTGTGAATGATGTTTCAGTTTCTGATATCTTCTGATCTTTAGCTAGTTTTTTTCAATGTTTTGTTCAATATTGCTTCCTTCCTTGATTCTTCTCTTTTCCATCATTTTTTGTATAATATCTTTCCAGGTCTTTCTCAGTCTTTCATCTCATGTTTTTGGTTTCTGTTTCTTGGCTATTCTTAGCAGTTTGTATTCTCACATAACCAAGACCATATTAACTGTCTTCTTTTTATTTCATCAATAATTTATTCCTCTATGTTTAAGTTCATCACTTTACTTTTGCTATTTTACATTTTTGTACATAAATAATTTGAATTCTGATTGAAATGTGAAGAATTCATAATTGTATATTGAAGGATGCTGACATAATGTTTTTCTATCAAAGACAATTGGTGTAAAACTCTGATTTATTGTAGGAGTTGTGTGTTGTGAATTTATAGCTTGATAAAATTATATAGGAATTTTTGGAAAATTGGGGAATGACACTTATTAACTACAGGCAAAGCTTATGGGTTTTTGTAAAGGCAAATAAATGTAACATTGAAGGTATAGTTGATAAACATTTTCTAAAATGAGCAAATGAAATGAAAAACATTTACTAGTTTAGATTCAGACAATTTTAAAACTTTCTATTGTAAAACTCAATGAAATTACTGGGTTGATACAGTAGACTATGTATCCTGCAAGTGTCTGATTTTTGTTTTATTTTAAGGGAAAGCTGAAACTAAAGGGAATAGAGAGCCAATTTAATTTATTAAATCTCTGTATTACATTAAAATTTTATTTACAATATTGTTCATTACAAATATAAATTAAATTTTATTTCAATTTATTATTTTTAAATAAGTTGTTAACGATATTTATTCATTTTGGTTTTTACTTTTTAAGCTTTCCCCCATGGAAAGGACTATCATACAAGGAATCAAACGGCTACGCGTTCTTACTCCCTATGATTATGATAATATGGATGAGCTTGTTCAAGATTTGAGCAATGCTCTAGAGGAAACTTCTTACAGTAGAGTATCTCCAAATAAATCTAAGAAAGGAAGAATATGGAAGAGACGATCAAAATCTACTGGTAATTTAATTGCATTAGGAAGCAGTTTACCAAAATCGAGTGCAGTTAGTGAAGATTCAGAATCTAGTTTAGATGACAGAATCAGATGGAAGATGGAAATCACAGCTAATGGTACTCAACCACATAGTGATNTACTTCAAAAACTAATTAATTCTATTCAATTGAATATATTTAATACTGATTTGTTATCAATATTAATTAATATGAACTTACAATAGAAACCTAATGCATTGGTCATTATATTAGTGTACAATCATCTGTTCACACATTATATATATTATATTTTAATGTATATGCATTTGTATCAATATTTCTAACTATAGTACATGTGTTTTGTATTTTTCAATTTTAAATGTTCTTGTTCTGTTCAGTTTAAAATTATATTCTGTTAACTGACCTTTAAAATATTCAAGCTGAAGATGATTTGAATAGAGGCAAACATGTTTCTTAATATAGAGTTCCTATGCACCTGGAAAGTTAGGGATTTTCATTAGTGTTTGGAAAAAGTCATGGAAAGTCAGGAAATTTGCTAAAAATTGTCAAAAAGTCAGGGAATTTGTTTCCTTGGCTGCCTTGATTTTGTTTGTTGACAGTATGGCTGACCAAGTGTAGCTGTCTGCAGGCAGTAAGTACTATTGTAGTGTAATGCAACTGATGAAAAAGTGGTGCAGAATATTTTCAGGATCCAAAATTTCTCCCAAACATATGCAGTTTTTCCAAAATTATAGTACACAAAATATACAAACATACAACAATATCAGTTGTTATTTTTAAATTTTAAAATACTTTTAGATTTTAAAACTGTTGTATTATGCAGTATTATAAGTTTGAGAGAAAAATTTAATACTCTTAATAATATAATGTTGATAAAAAAAATTTTGAAATATTTTAACTCTATCTCTCACAATTTACACTTTTAATTTGAGGGCAGGTGTTAATGAACTGATGAAAAAAATGACAACAATGAACCAAAAATGATAAATAACTTAATACTAATTAAAATGGTATTATTTATCATTTTAATAATTTTGATTGCATAACAAAAAAATTTCTGATTTCTGAAACTTTTTTTCAGTCACATACACTGAACCAATTTATGGTGTGGTACAATGAACAACGAAAAAATAACAAAAAAAAAACAAATATTAATAAACTGAAAAAACTTTTTTTTCAGTTTATTAATATTTTATAAAGTTTGGAAAATTTATTAAGGGACAGATTTAACAAATTTATGCCATTCTCTTCAAATAAGTGTCTGAATGTTATTACTTAATGCAGAAAAAATTAATAAAATTATCCACAAACACCATTAAAAACATGTCAGTTTAAAACAAGTTTTTTGAATAGTCTGTATTTCTAAACATATTTATTCTTATAACAGTTAAAGATGCTTGGAAATGTACTACAATCATGATTAAGAAAAGTTTTTATGAATTCTATTTTTAGAACTTTTTGAAGTTCTAAAAATAGAATTCATAAAAAATTTTTGTTGTATTTGAATTCTCATTTTTTTAAAAATCATTTAACCTTTTACCAGTAAGTTAAAAATTGTATATTAGCTTTCGAAAAGTGAATTTTAAAAATTTACTTTAAAAAACTTATTAAAAATAAAAATTAAATAAAACATCTTTCTAAAAGATAAAATAAATTGTTTAATAATTGATAATATATAGACAAAATATTGCCTGGCTGTTTACAACTTGCCATTTTTTAAAAATAATGTTTTACAAGTTATTACAAAATGCTGCAGATTTCATTAATTTATAACAAATTATTATGTAAAGATAAAATAGACAAGAGATGGCAACAATCTCTGCAAAGTTTCAGTTGCTGTTGTATATACAGCAAAACTACTCAGAGTTTAATGCTTAAGAATGTACATAGGCTGTTTTTTTCAACCTCCGATGGTCCATAAAACAAAGACAAGTTTTATAAGTCAAATAATTTTTCTTAAGAGTAAAAATTACCTGAATTTTTTTGAATTATGATTGATTTGAATGTTTTATTTATTTCTATGATATTTTTTAAAACCATTAGGTTTGTCCTTACAGAAGAGAAGACATAGGAAAAAGATTTATAGATATCTCTTACATTAATAATAATAATAATACTTTAATAGAATATTTTACTGCTTTTAAAATTAGATAAATATAATTTATATATTAATTTTATTAATTTATTGAACACAGCTGATGATGAACAAAGTGATTTTTTCCATGAATCGGGTCCTGCTACTGGAATGTCTGGTATAGATCCTTGGTGGGAAGATGAGAAATTTATTACTGTTGATAGTCATGAAATGGATTCTAAATTTCAAGCAATTTTATCAGGAAGTTTTGAACATTTATCTGAAGCAGCTAAGCATGCTTATCATGCTAAATTAAGTCATTTAACTGGAAGGGTAAGTTTATTATGTAAGTAAGTAATAACTATATAATTTTTATGAGAATAAAAATTATGTAGTTATTGCTTGCTTGAATTAAGATATAGTTGATTAACATTACTTTTCACATAAAATATGAATTTTACTCACAGCTGAGAAATTCATTTAAAGGCTGTTTTAAGTTTTTAAAAACAGTTCAGAAGAAATTACTATTTAGATTGCTGTTTAGACTATGAAAGTTGAAATGTTTTTGATAAGCTGATTTGATGTTTTATGCTGTTGTGAGAAGCCGGGTTTGGTTTAAACCCCCTTTGATTGGTGATGGATTGGTGAGGTCCGCTCATGTTGTCACTGGATGGCTTTTATTTATAGTTTAATGGAAGATTGGCAAATCTTGTGTCTAGTTTCCTCTGACACCAGTTAGGATAATAAGAATTATTATTATGAAAAATTTATCTCTAATAAAAATAATGGTTTCTAAAATAAAACTTGTTTTTATTTTATTATATTTTTAGAGTTTGCTTAATGTAAAATATTGTTATTATTGAATATTTGTGTTAAACTGAAGATAGATGCTTAAGTNGGAAGATTGGCAAATCTTGTGTCTAGTTTCCTCTGACACCAGTTAGGATAATAAGAATTCTCATCCTAACTCATGAATATAATTGTATCTCAATTCCTGTCTAGTGGGAAGATTCATTATTCTGAGTGGGAGGGCCTATCTAGCATTTGAACGGGGAGAGTCAGTGATTTTGTTGATAGGTGGTCAGCGATCCAAGTAAATCGGACTCGAGATCCGGATAACAATTAACAAAAGTTTAATGAACACATAGATTAAATACAAAGGAGATAAAACTATGTTTACGGCGATAAACTACATACTAGACACTAAACGCTAAATACATTGCTAGATACCGAGATAAATACGCTGCTCGCGAGACTAAGAGAAAGAGTTTACATAAGTCTATATTGGATACCTCTTAAATAGTCTGATATCTTTTGATCCTGTTTGTGAGAACGTCTGTGAAACACTCCAGGATCATCTTGGAGAGAGACAAGAGTGGTGACAAATGCAAGCTCGACCTCTATCTTCTTGGGAGTGTCTGTGCTGAACTTTGAGTGTGTGCCCTTTTTATTCTCCTAAGCATGGATTAGAATTGGGTGATTTTGATTTAATGTGGTCCTAAGTTCAAGATGTGTCACCGGACTGGCTGATATGGGCCGTAACAATTTGATAATTCGACTGTGTTGTTGATACTTTCTTGCAAGGTGTTATGACTCCTTTTACAATATAATTTAACTAATTTTGATGTTCTTCCTTATCAATAATTAGATGTTTGGATTTATCTTAGAAACTTACTCAAAACATTGTAAAGATTGTTGATTTTCTAAGGATATTCGATTGTCATTCGATATTCGATCTATCAGATAACTGATCCCAGTTCTAACCTGTTACCAGGTGTTAGAAAAACTGGGGTTTTTCCACTTTCTTAATTTCACATTTTAATTTTAATTAAACCCCCTGGATCTCACACTGTATTAGTGTTGGATTAGTTGTATTAAAAACTTTTCAAATATAAAGAACACTTATCAGAATTTTTCTGTAAACATTCAAGAGAAATTATTGTATAAAAGTTTGATCATATTCATTGCTTTCTTATATTGAGAATTATGAGAGTCAGTCAGAAAGTAACAAGGTTCTGTTGAAACAATGAACTTTATTTGACAGAAACAAAACATAATTTCCATTGGAATTCAAGAAATTATCATTGTTTTGCTGGCCAGAAGATGGCTTTTTGGTAGAACGTTGGCTTCTGACACAACTAAGGTTTAGACAGTCTTCTTTAGCATATTGTCTCTTTGATCCTTTTTTACCTGTCCAAAAACATGAAAATCTCATAGTGAAAAGGTGGAAGATTCAGATTATAACATGGATGTTGGCAGATTTCCCATCTTATCTTTTGCTGAGCATCACAAATAGTGTTGGCAGTGTAAAGTCTTGCATCATTGTGAAGGATAATTACTTCTTTCTACAGCAAGTCTGGCATTTCTTATTTTATTGAGGTCCATAGTGATCTTTGTATGCAGTACTCATTCTGCAATGAATTTCTTTTCTACCTACTACTACTACTGCAGTCAAAAAATGCAGGACACCTTGTTTTTCTGTACTGATTACCATGCTTAACAAAACTTTTAGGACAACTTCTATAACTATATCTGTTTACTTTCAATCATCTAGCAACTGTTTAAAATCATGTACCCTTGTGCATGTCTGTCTGCTTCAAGATTATACTCTGCATATTTGATCTTAAATAGCTACAGTTTGGTACTCTATTTTTTACAAATTCCTAATTGCCTCATTACTTTTTGAATTGCTTTTATAATTACTGATTTTTATAAATAATTTTGAATAAATAAATAAATAAAAATGTAACTGGAATTAAACATGCAATGCATTAGAATAATTTCAGTTACATTTATTGTTAAATCAGGAATGCAAACCTGCAGCCCAGGGCCTCCTTTCAATGTTTATGCAGTCCACAAAGGTACAGGCCAAATCCCTTCTTTCAAGTGTGCCTATGGATTACTCGCTCCATTGCGATATGGGTCCTGATACTTTAATGCAGTGAAACAAACCCTTTCTATGTTAAATCTATGGAGAACCTTTTTTTACTTGATTGGATGATAAAATTATTACTTACACTCCTTTTAAACTCAGATTGGTGCTTTCTGGCTTGAAAAACTTGGCTTTATTCAATAAAAGTAAGTGAGAATCTGATGCCTTGGAAAATTGCCATCAAAACCACGTCCCCTTCAACTATACCAATCAGAATCTAGAATGTAAACAAATGCTAAAAATATTGCTATTTTCACTTAATTTTATGTTATTTGACGCTATTTAATTTGAAATTTGAAATGCTAAAATTGAAAATTTTCTGCCAAAATAGAAACTTTCTGATAACACTGGAAATGACATTCTAACATCACTTATTCTATTTGATTCTTCTAAAAATTGTTATAATACTATGTATTAGACTTAAAATATTTGATATCTAAACCAGAAAATGTGTTAGCTAGAAATAGAGGAACTTCAACTGCTCCCATTTTTCAAGTCAGGGAAAGTCATAAAACAGTTGGGTGATAATGACTTTGTGAAAGGGTAAAAGTTCTATACTTAGAAACTTCAAACTTGTTTGGGAGAGGAAAAACTTATCTAGCTAACAGATGAAAAGAAAATTGATTCAATTTGATACAAAGTTTTTTGCCTAGTATGTAGCAAAGTGAGTTTTGCAGGAAAAATTTTACAGCTAAATGTTTCAGATAAAACTTTAATGGCTTTATTAAATAGTCAATCAACATAAAAATTATAAAAATTAGAGTTAAAAAACAGAAAATATAGCTATTTAGTTCGTTTGTTTACAAGCGCACTTCGATGAAAGAGCTCCAGTGAGTAAACAACCAATTATTTACAACAATGTCTCTCTTTCCATAGACTAACAATAGAAAAAAAAATTTTTAATTATTACTTTGGACCAAGAAAATTAATAGTTGAAATAGAGTCATATGACTAAAAGGAAGCCAATTGTGCTAAAAAGTTTTGGATTTAATAATTATTTCAAATCATGTCAAGCCATAAACTTCCCATGATTGTCAATATTGCCCATGGCTAAAGTAATTAGACTTAGACTCCTTGTCAATAAAGAGGGTTGTAAAAATGGTCTAGCCCCCTGGTCAGTAAACTTAATCCTAACCTAGGCCAACTTCAGAAAAGGTTGTGCATCCCTTGTTAAATCTTTCAAGAATTGTTATGATTATGAATACTGGTAACATATTGTATTATTGTAATCAGTAATAGTTAGTTTATAGTATATTCAAAAAAATTCTTGTTATACATAAGAATAAGTGAAATAACCAATGTACTGAAATGTTGGTTTTTAGAAAAGTAAAATAAAATTACAAAATTTTTATCAATTGGATATGTTAAATAATTTTTATAGATATTGAAATGAAAATATACATTACTTAAGAAATACACTGAACTTTTAACTCCATATTAAACAAAATTAGTCAAAAAGTTAACAGAATATATATTTTGAGTAAAATTCATATTATGTGTGTTAAATATAGGATAAACATCATAAAATTATTTCTGTCCAATAATTGAGAAAGCACAGTAAACATACAACTTTTAATTTTATATTGCAGAAAGTATTTTTCATATAATTGTGTAAAAATTTCTCAAAAATATTTTTGGAAAATGTGATTTAAAAAATTATAAAATAAATTATTGAGAAAAACTTTTAAGTTTAAAAAATATATAAGTACAGATGATCTTTGACTTTTGGACATAATACATTCCTTAAAATGTGTACAAAAACTGAATGTCAAAAAATTGAGTTAACTTGCATGTTATAAAGGGGTATATAGTTTTTAATTTAGTTTAAAAAGATATTATATAGTTTTCTTTTTAGCTCTGCAGGAATGCAGAGCTAAAATGAAAACTATATAATATCTTATTAAGGTAAAAAAGTTAAAGTTTTTTATTGTAAATATGTAACAAAGCATAAAACATTATTTAAAATGTTAAAACTACAAATTAAACATAAAATAGGTAAAGAAACTAATTTTCACAAATAATTATTTGTAAAAATTAATTTTATTTTGCAGTTTTGATTTATTAATTAATTATAATTAATTTAAAAATTATAATTTTTATGTCATCAAAATCAAAATTGGAGGAAAGCAGTTATGTATCTTTAAATTTTTGTTGGCTGAAAAATTATAAAAAATGAGAAATTGACATACAAAACAATTAATGGGTATCAAAGTATCATACAAAAGTGATCTGTTCAAAAGTTGAGTCCATNATTTCATTTAAGCTATATTCAAAATTTGGAAAAAAATGCACAGGGTTGAAAACCTTGGATACCTCCTGGAACCTCAGGATACGAACGCCCCAGCATACAAAATTTTCAGGATATGACATGAAATTCGAACATATTTTTGCTCCACGATACGAACAAAAACTCACCATACGACGTTACATTAGTTCG